TCTATCTAAATGCATGGAGAGATGCTATTATTAACAGACAGGTTGGGGCTAAACCATTGATCAGTATATTAAAAACTAAGTAGGGCGCCTGGGTGGCTCAGTTGGTTAAGCGACTGCCTTCGGCTCAGGTCATGATCCTGGAGTCCCGGGATCGAGTCCCACATCGGGCTCCCTGCTCAGCAGGGAGTCTGCTTCTCCCTCTGACCCTCCTCCCTCTCCTGCTCTCTGTCTCTCATTCTCTCTCTCTCAAATAAATAAATAAAATCTTAAATAAATAAATAAATAAAAACTAAGTAAACAAACAATCAAAATTATAATGATCCATTCCAGCAAAAGAAAAAGTTGTGCAGAAAGGGTAAAATAATAACAACATTCTAAATGCTTCATTGTGAATAATGTTTACATAGTTATAATAATGTAACCACTAAATATTTATCCAAATTTTGATATAACTGCATGGAAAAGAGGGAGAATTAGGAAGAGTGTGTGAGTGTGTGTGTGGGGGGTCAGGGGTGGGTGATGAAAGGAAGCTAAATTTTCACCTTCTGCAGGGAGAAGTCTATAGACAATGCCTAAAACCGAAAAACCAAGAAGCACCAATATGAGTTGATATTTAGATATCTGGAGTTGAATCCTAAATGATTAAGACAAGAGAGTTGAAAGCACTTGGCTCTGGGGAGAAGGAAATTAAAGTGATAGGGAAAAGGGAGTTATGTAGGTACTTAGAGTTTTGGGAACAAACCCTGTGAAACAGTCAACTTTCAGCCACATGTGTGTATCATTTGGATAATAACAAAGAGGAAAAAGGAGGAAAGAGGACAGAGAGGTAAGGACACAGGGAGGAAGGGGAAAAGGAGGAAAGAAAAAATTTTAAGAGACAATACAGATAAAAATGAAAGATAGCCTAACAGATAAAATGTGGTTTTTATTGAAAAGGAAAACCAAAACCAAAGTCCAAACATTTTTGGAAAAGTGTAAGCTTTAAATAAATACAGACTAGATCTCTGTGTCTCCTAGCTCTCAATTTTATATCTAATTGCCAAATGGCAGCATATAAAAAAATATTCATGCTCTTTCCCTCCAAATCCCCTTTTTTCCATCATTTGTAAGTGATGACACTTTCATACCACTGCTTTGTTCCCACGCCCCCTCCCCCAACATCCTATGGGTTCTCTCCATTCTCTCCACTTTATTATCTAGGGCACCATCACCTTTCCAAACTGGTCTGCCTGCTTCCTGTCCATCCTCTTAACAGGCAGGCAGAGCAAGCTTTCTAAAATTCAAAGCCATTCACACCACCCTCTTGCTTAAAACTCTTCTGTGGTTCTCACTGCCTTTAGGATAGGTTTAAACTCCTTAATCTGGCATATAGAACTTCATGCTCTGACCTCTAACTACCTCTGAAGCTTCATTTTTTTAACATGCTCAGGAATGCCTCTCATTCCACCCCATCTCTAAGTTCCAGCCTGCCACACTGAAGGCCTTTGCAGGTCCTCAAACCCAGGGTGCTCTCACATCTGAGCCCCTGCATTGCTGTGCCCTTTATCCTAAAAGTTCTTCAAAGAAAATTATATGCAAAAGTATGTGTGTTTGTGCCTATGTATGCATACATGCATAAAACTTGCAAATGATTTTGACATTATTTATAAGGCCCCCGAACACCAATTTTGGACCCCACTTTAAGAACCCATTCCTTGGGCGCCTGGGTGGCTCAGATGGTTAGGCAGCTGCCTTCGGCTCGGGTCATGATCCCAGGGTCCTGGGATCGAGTCCTGCATCGGGCTCCCTGCTCCTTGGGGAGCTTGCTTCTCCCTCTGCCTCTGCCTCTCTGTGTGTGTGTCTCTCATGAATAAATAAATAAAATCTTAAAAAAAAAAAAGAACCCATTCCTTAAGTTATAAGCAAGCTTACAACTGCTATAAAAAAGTTCTGAAATACATCATTCAGAATATTTACATATAAAGCATACATGAATTACACATATTAATATTAGCTATTTTTCATGTCACTGGAATATTCTCCATTGCCCTTCCTCCCAAAGAAAGTTGGTTAAATGATTATCCTAAAGTTGGTTTCCGTGAGAAGGGGTAACCCTAAGTGAAAACATCCCTTCACTGTTTTGAGAACAGTAAGATCCTAGAATTTGAATACTTCTACCTCATAAGAATGCCTGAGCATGCTGTTACAACAACAACAACAACAAAAAACTTTAAAAAATTGGATATTAGATGAACAGCTGTGTAGAAAGGGGAATGTAAAAATAAAAACTGTGTGTTGCAGCATCAAAATAGTAACCATATACAGTATATGACTGTTTTTAATCAGATGAAGATTGAAGCTATTACATTTCAAATCAAATGTTATAAATTAGTTCAAGAATGCAGCTGAGCTCTCATTTAATTAGAAATGTCCATGTTTAAATCATGAGGTACAGTAGCTGCCAATGAAGCAAAAGGGCAAGGGAAGGGAGAAATCTGTGTCCAGACCCTCCGATTGTCAACTGTCTCCTATGCAGGATGAACATCTGGGGGTGGACTAGTCCTGATGTAATGAAGAACTTCATGTACTAGCTAATTTGAGATTTAATGTAATTGAACATAATTGTTTTGAAGACAATTAAAATCATTATTCTGGTCTGGACAATTCTGAACTCTTCATTTTTGTGTGAAACGTATTTTTCCCCATGCTGAATTTTAACCCTTTCTTGGATAAAAAGTATGGCAAATTTGGGGCCAGGATTTCCCTGGGAAATAATCTTTAAATTGTCAGCTCACATTAAAATGCAGCACAAGCAGTGAGGTGCTCCTCTGGAAACAAGTCTCTTTTCCTATGGCTAGTACTTGGTGTAGCTCAGCTTAGCCAGAGTCCAAATCTACATCCCAAATGTTAGACAATTCAGCATTAAATAAAAATGAGGCAACATCATACAGGGATTTCTGAGGTCATACAGAGAAGAATGCAATTATCCTAAGGCGGACTTCCCTCCAAAGGTTATGAGCCTCTGCATCTTGTAATTAACCATGGTGCAGCTAGACAGTCCAGGCAAAAGGTCTTTCTTTTCTCCCAATTTGCCTAATTCAAAAACACCTCAAGTGACATAGCTCAAATTTTCCAAATTAAATTCACCCCTGGGGCTGAAATCAAGCACGTGACAGTTCAGTTCCAAAGCAAATCTTAAAGAGAGTTGTGCATTGGGAAAGAAAAAAAAAATCAGAGGAAAAAGGGGTAGGAGTTAACATTTAAGTGGTTTTTCAACCTCATCATTACCCCTGCTCAAGAAAATAGGACACAGATGGGCAAAACACACCATTGTTCTGCCCTGAAGAGTCTAAGGAACTCATTAGAAACTACTGTTTTTTCTCATGATCTATGGTGAATCTGTAAGGGACAAAATGGTTGATTTGCCCCATCCCAGGGCATTTAGAGTTCCACAGTGTTGTCGGGTGGAAAGTGGAAAGATAGTCACAGAGACACAGTATGCATTGCAACCCATGAGAGCCTATTGTTGATGTAGTTCTTCAAGGTCAACTCTTACCAGGGAGTTGAGGAATGATTATATTATCACAAACTGTTCTGATTTGTGAAAAATGGTTTCCAATCAGGAATGACACACTACCCTCAACTTTCTCGTACTTCTGGCCACAGCTCCACACTCGTCCCGTGGGACACCAGAGAGAGGGTAAATGGGAAAGAGGTTCACTGCTCCCAGGCAAGAGTGGATCCCCTCTCGAACCTCCATAGTAATAGACTTAAAGGCCTCCAAGCTGGCAGCCAGAAGAGAATTGCCTTAAAATGTGAAATTGTAAACAGCAATCACTAAACTTTCACTTGCATCTAAAGAAGCAGCTATAATTTTACTGTCCCACTTGTTCTTCTTCTTTTGCAATCTGTATAGGAGGTTATTTTTATCCAAATAAAAAAAAAAAAGATCCAACCGTTTCCTTTCACCTCACCTCCCAATTGTCATAAAGTTTCACATTTCTGCCAGCAATTTTATTCCCAAAAGTGGAGGAATTACGCAATGTTCATCAGTCTTAAACAATTTCATATTTTTTTTCAGTTGGTTACTTCAAATTTTTTCAATTTTATCAAATTAATCTGATAAAATTCCATGTTATTTTCAGAATGCTTTATGAATAATTACATTACAATATACACACATACATTTTTCTGAAACGTAAGTATTTGATTTTGCTCTTGTTCAGTAATTAGATTTTTCCATTGAATCATTCATCTAAGTGCATGTTATGGACACCTATACCACTAGGACTCTGAGTTTTCATTAGTGCAATATGGCCATTTTAGCAATAGAGATAAACAACAAAGAAGCAAATTTACATCCTATGATTAACATTCAAGATAATCTGTCCTATGTTTGCTGGAAGTTATCAGTCCACTCTGCTCTCCAAACAAATAGGCCTTTTGAAAGAAGACACTCTGCCAAGTTGAAATCAGGTTTATTTGAAAATATCCTGAACCCTTTACTAAGCAATATTAAGATGATATAGGCTTTTCTTTAAACAGTTATGATCCTTCCAATTCAAGTTGTCCTATTAAGCCTGACAACATCCCTATGAGACATGGAGTTCATTTCATTTCAACTCATGAACTAAAGATTTCAGGGTCCCAACTCAAAACACAACTGCTTAGTGTATTTCATTCCATGCCAACTTATCAGTGAAATCAAGGTTGATTTCAACACTATTACTTCACAGGTTAAAACTAGAAAAGGTTTCCTTAACCACATAAGATTTGGGATCATCATCTTCAGTGAAAGAATATTATTAAATCTTGGACCCCAAGGTTCATTTTAATAAAGAGGAAATGGGAAATGTTTGAGATACACATGATCAGAAGAATAATGAAATGACCTTTTGGGGTACACTCTCTTGAGTATTCAGATTTATATAGGAAATCAATGGTTAAAGAGCATTCAGGTCTACCTGAAGCTTACCCTTCATCAAAAGACATATAGATAAACAAAGAAACTGAAATCTTACCTAATTCATTAATAGAAGCCGATATTGTAATGACTGATTTGATGTAGTCTTGATCAGAAAATGAAAATATATTGAGCATTGATGCTTCAGGTTATTTCTGCCCTGTAAAGAAAACACATATGTGCAAGAATTTTTTTTCTGTGATGGAATCTTAATAATTTATTTTTTCTGATACAATTAAACTTAGCTTGATAGAAAAATTCTGGGATTTGACCTCTGAAGTGACATTGACTAATCACGAAATTCACTAGTAATGTCTACTTCTTATCACATTACTATATAACCAGATTATAGTTATAACTACATCTGTTATCTAGTTAGAACAGTTCAGAGGCTCCATTCGGAGGCTAGCCTTATGGTGTTTATGACAGATCGTCTCTTGGACTTGCTACTGGGCTTGCCAAAGTTCTCTCAACTCAGTCTAAGATGGTAGCCTCTTCTTTCTTTTTTTTTTTTTTTTAAAGATTTTCAGAGGGAGAAGCAGACTCCCTGCCGAGCAGGGAGCCCGATGCGGGACTCGATCCTGGGACTCCAGGATCATGACCTGAGCCGAAGGCAGGCTCTTAACGACTGAGCCACCCAGGCACCCCAATTTTTGTCTTTTTAATCCCTAGACCTTAGTCTGGTCTTGAATCATAGTAGACATAGTAGATGCTTTATAAAAATTCGTTGAAAGGATGAATATGTACATGCAGAAGTCAATGAATGTGTGAACTAATTCACGAACGGACAAACCAACAAAAGAGTGAATGAATAGGTCAAGTTACTCAACCTGGGCACTTTTAATCTTGGGCAGGATAATTCTTTGTTGTGGATAAGTCTGGCATTGTAGGATACTCAGAGGCATCCCTGACCTCTACCCACAGGTGCCAGGGGCAGCCCCCTCTCCCAAGTTGTTATGATCAAAAATGTCTCCAAGGCATTGCTAAATATTCCCCAGGGATAAAATCGCCCTTGGTGGAAAACAGCTGAAATACATGGAAGGCTGGCTGAATGCAGCAATTTCAGGTGGAGGGCAGAGATTAGAACTCTGCTCTCTATTTCAGTCCAGAACTTTTTCCATTACGACTTAGCCCTGCTAAGATCCAAGTTCAATTCTTAGACTTCTCATAAGACATTTTTAAAACCTGAGACCAATAACAGAATTTCAGAAGTATAATTTTGGGGACAAAGTATCAAAGAAGCAACATTAGGAATAAAGATATGCCTTCCTTATATCAACTAGTCTGGTTGATGTTAATTTTTTTAAATGGCATTTACCGGGACGCCTGCGTGGCTCAGTCATTAAGC